GGATCCACCCTGATGGCCTTTTAACTTACTGTCTCCAGACACACTCACAATTAGAGGTACTGGGAAGGAGGAATTTAACACGTGAATTTGGAGACACGGAGTTCTGCCTGCAAAGCTACTCAATCCCCAGCATTTAATGCACTGGCTGGGAAACAGGTCTCGGCAGCTGTCAGAGGAACGAATGGCATCCGAAGGCAGCGATAGCAGGACAGCATCTAAACGACTGCCTTAGCTCTCTCCTTTCTCCGCGAAGGCTGCTCCTTGCAGCAGTGTCAGGATGGGCATCCTTCTGCCTCAGTCTGTAGGCCTGAACTTGGCAGTGGGGAATGGTTATGAGCACTGTTGCTGAGAGAGCTGGGCCCTGTGTCTCCCAGAGCTTGACTGGCCCTTTGGTAGGATCTGATTGGCTGCAATGACTGGCCCTTTGGTAGGAGGTAGGATCTGATTGGCTGCTATGACTTGTCCTTTGGTAGGATCTGATTGGCAGCTCTGACTGGCCCTTTGGTAGGATCTGATTGGCTGCTATAACTGGTCCTTTGGTAGGATCTGATTGGCAGCTATGTGGTTTTGTTAGACACAAGACAATAAAATGAGGTGCCTTGCCCTGGACAGGATCTCGTGGTGCCCGACATCAGCTTGGCATCCCTGGGATCCATTCTTTCCCCAACCATGGCTACGGCTTAAACTAACGAGTACTCAGGAGCCACTACTGAGAGATAAAGAAAGGGAGGCAGATGTTAGAAGTCAGGAAAGCCGCCTCAGAACAGCATGACACACGAATAACCCGAGACCAGAATACAGCTGAGAAAACACCCAGGAACCCTTTGCAGTTCCAATACTTTAGCGACTCAGTGTCGGTCCATCATCCGTAGCCTCCCTCCCCTCGTTTTTTGAATATAATGTAAAAGAATAAGAGAAAATTAACCAGTTCAAAATTATTGAATACGTGGCCTATTTTAAAATCCTGTTTCAAGCACCCGAATTAGGCAATTAAAGAAATATTAAAGCATTTGGGAAGAGCGCTATTTAAGCTAATTTTTTTCTTCCCCTTTTAAATTTCTGGCTCACAAATCTTATAAAAACATTTTCATTTTTTAAAGGATATTTTCCCTAATTATGGAAGCAGAACATGTTCACTGAAGAAAAATTTAAAGAAACAGTGAGAACCTAAAGGAACGTATACGCCACTCCCACACTCTTCAGCTTGAGCCCCTCCCCTACCCCGTTCTCCTTCCAGGGCCTCAAGTGCTGAGGTAACCAGCTTGTATCTTCACGTACTGGGATTAAAGCCCTGCACCACCATACCCAGATCAAAGTTTTTATTTTTTCACTAATTCTAAGATTTTCTCTTTTGAAACAAGGTCTTACTGTGGAGCTCAGTTTGGCCTTGAATTCACTGTGTAACCCAGGCAACCTTGAACTCGCAGCTTTGCAGTCTCGGTTTCTCAAGTGCTGGGATTCCAGGTGGGAGTCACCCTGTCCAACTAAAAGTCTATTCTTAGATGCACAACAGGCTCCAATTATATGTTTCGTTCTAGCGACGAAAGATGTTTTGTTCCTGGACCTCGCCTGAAGGAACTGTCTGCTGGACAGCAGACGTTGTCACTGTCCCAGCTGAGACCTGACTGTCCCAGTCACCTGTTCTTATTCTGGAAGGGGTTTTCTTCCTGATGTCCTCTGACCGGCTCTGTGGAAGGACGGGAGCCGCCTCCTCTCCCAGAGGGGTTCCTCTCTCCTCAGCTGTCCCTTGTCATTGTGCAAATTCATCTACTCAAAAGACTGTGAATTTAAGGTCAACGGGTGCCTTTTGATTTGTTTGGATTTAAGCAACAAGAAGCCTTTAGACTGGGCCCTTCAGGCTCTCTAGGAGAGGCTCTGAATAAACACGAAAGAGGGGGTGTACGAAAGGAAGGCCAAGAAATGGGCAGCTCAGGGTTTATCGCAATAATGAAAGAGCATAGGAAAGTACATGATTGCTGGGAATTTCTTCCACTCAGATAGGTAAATGAAGCTGGAAAAAGTTAATAATAAAAATTGGGGTGCCTTTCGTCTTGGTTCTATTTTAGGCTTTTTTGTTTTCCACTGGGTTCATTTTGTAATGTAGATTTTTGAGCCAGGGTCTTAATTTAGCTGGGCAGCAAGGCCTACCTTGAAATCCAGGGCTCCCTCTCTCACCTCCCAAGTACTGAGATTACAGGTGGGAGCCACCACACCTAGCTTGTTTTGGTTTTTAAGAAAGGATCTAACACTGTGAATGAAAACTAACAAGAAAGGAAGGAAGGAAGGAAGGAAGGAAGGAAGGAAGGAAGGAAGGAAGGAAGGAAGGAGAGGACGTGGCAGCTCCTAAGGTGTGGTGGAGGAGAAAGTTCATTCTAGATAACAGGGAGAGCCTAGCCTAGATGTTCCTAGCAGGGACATCTGGGAGAGTTCAGAGTGGACATTACCAGACTGGGATGGGCCGTGTGGAGAGAGGGGGAGGGGAAGGAAGACAGGGCGGGTTGGGGGGGGGGACAATGACCGGGTGCAATAGCCAGGAGGACAAGGGTACAAAAGGGCAGGTAACCACAGGTCTGGATTATATAGGGAAGAGCCTCTGGGGGACGGGCAGCCCAGCCCCCTGGGCTGGAAAATTCAGGGTAGAGGTCAGGGTATGGCAGCCCCATCCTGTAACAGGTAGGGGCTGAGAGATGCTGGAAGAACCTGGCAGCCAGGTCCACTTTACTATATAAAGTACACCTCTCAGCCTTTTGTCCTAGATTTAACACTTACATGTGGCCCAGGAACTCTCAAGGCAATCCTCCTGCTGCAGTCTCCGGGGTGCTAGGGTTATGACACCAAACCTGCAATGGAGAGATATTCAGTATGGGATGTGCTGGGGAATGACAGTGGCGAGGCACCTGGGAAGGTGGACTTATAGTTCAGCTGTTGACGTCCATTTAATCTGCCCTGTTGCCCTGTTGCCACATATCACCTCCTGTGGCTACCACACCTGCATTTCCATCTCTGAGTCAACTAAGTAACGGAAGAGCTCCTTCCTGCCTCTGCCTCCCGGCTGCTAGCATTGCACAAACGCACCACCGAGCCGAGCCGACTACATAATTGACAAAACCCAGCACAGGCTGAAAATGTAGCACGCCTTCATCAAAAACGTTCAGAATTCCAGTGTGTCGACATCAGGACCTGAGGACGGTGAACAGTGTTCATTGTCAAGCTGGCCAGATTTAGTATCACTTAGGAAACACACCTCTGTGTGTTTCCGAGGACTTTTCTGAGGTTTAACTGAGGAGAGAAGATTCACCCTGAATATGGGGGACCCTACCGTGTAGACTGAGGACCCAGGTTGAATAAAAAAGGAGAAAACAGGATCCCCTCCCTTTGCTTCCTGTTCTCCTCAGATGGGGAGAGACGCTGCTTAGGCGCTGCTTCATCCGCACGCCTTCTCTTCTGAGACGAGATGGTCTCTCTTCTGTAAGTCACTTCTTGTCAGGTATTTGAGTCACAACAATGAGGAAAACAGCCAATCCAACAGGCCCACTAGTCACAGGCACACAGAACAGGCCTTTCCAATACAGTTTCACACAGGAATGCCCTCCACCATGTCACGTTGGACGGGGTCACGGTGGAGCACAGAATAGCACTGTATAAGCAAGGAGGTGGCCTGGCGGTCCCCTGTCCTGGATACAGTACCATAGCCTCCTTGCCTGGGGGATTTGAGGCCACTGGGGTGGAGTCCGATGAGAATCTAGGGAAACTGTCTTCTTGCTCTTGACAGAGCAGGCCACAGTCTCTTAAATTATTTGCCATCTCGACATCTTTTTGCCCAATGTTCAAATTTCTCATCCATTACAACCTCATATTCACTGTGTTTCTGGTAGAAGCCTGCCATTCAGATATTTTCCTCCATAATTTAGCGGGGCTCCAAAGGAGGAGATAAGTGTATGGGATTCATCCTCCATTTATGACTTTGAAGAGTTCCCAATAATGAGGTAAAGACTACGAGAGACTCAGAACAATATGGAGCCCACGGCAGAATTCACCTTTCTCTCCAGCCACTCTGGAGCCCATTCCAGGCTCCTATCCCAACCAACCACCAGCTGCAGGATCCAGCTGTGCCATCAATTCGCATCATGGGTTAGTTTTTGCTCATGTTGAGACAGGGTCTTCCCATGCAGCCTAGGCTAGACTAGAACTGGTATGCCTCCTACTGAGGCTTGCCAAGTATTGGGATTACAAACATGGGCACCACATCTAGCAGAGGTATATTAGCACATGGTTGTGACAGCAGCTCTTGAGATGTCGAAGTAGGAGCATCTTGAGTACAAGATCTACTGCTGCTATATAGTAAGTCTGAGGTTGGCCTGGGTCACATGAGATCTTGTCGGGGGGGGGTAAGAAAGAAAAGAAATGATTATGTTGAGTATGTATGTGTGTATGTGTGTGTGAGAGAGAGAGTGTGTGTGTATGTGTATGAAAGAGTATGTGTGTGTGTGCATGTGTGTGTGTGTGTGTGTGTGTGTGTGTGTGTGTGTGTGTGAGAGAGAGAGAGAGAGAGTGTGTGTGTGTGTGTGTGTGTGTGTGTGTGTGTACTGAGGGATAAATAAGGGTTGTGAGGGTTGGGGATAAAAACCCAGAGCCTGGCACATGCTAGCAAATGCTCTAGTACTGAGCTACATCCATGGCCCTTATAATTTAGGATTTCCTCCTATTCAACAGGGTATAACAGCAGTACAATCCCACCTCATTAAATCATTACTTAATACAATGAACCCGTACCTGAGAACTCAGAGTTCTCAGGTCATTTTTGCCATGGAAACATGGTGTGGTTTGAATGAGAATGGCCCCCACAGGCTCAAGTGTTTGAATACTTGGTTCCAGTTGGTAGGACTGTTTGGGAGCGGTTGGAAGGTGTGGCCTTGCTGGTGGAGGTGAGTCACTGGGATTGAACTTTGAGATTTCAAGACTTCTTTATTCCCAGTGTTCTCTTGACTCCATGTTTCCAGATCAGGACCTGGGCTCTCATCTGCTGGTTTAGACCCACGCCTGCAGTAGCTGCCATGCACCCCACCATGATGACGATGGACTCTCACTCCCTGGAACTTCAATCCCCAAATCGACCCTTCCTTCTATAAATTGCCTTGGCTGTGGTGTTTTACCACAGCAGCAAAAAAGTGACGAGACAAGAGAAGAAAGCAAGTCTCCAAAGGAGGGAAAAACGCCAACTTTATAAAGAACTTCCTCCTGATGTGGGAACAAACCAGGGACTTTGAGAGCACAAGAAGGGGTTTGCGTAAGGCTGGAAACTCTGCTCACTGCTTTCCATAGATTCAGATGCCCTGGATTCCCAGCCAGACTTGGCACAGTCTGAAGAATCCAGACACCACTTCAACTCTGATCTGCCTGTTGAGACTCACTCTTAGCTCTTACCTCCTATTTGCGCCCAGGCCTGTATTTTAGAGGGTCCCGATCTCCCGTCTTCCCAGGCATTCAGTTACGTGCCATGAGGATGTCAACGGAGGGGTAGAGGACGTGTGCTGCTCAGGGAGTCTTGGGCTAAGGTTGGCAGAAACCTATGTAATGTAAAGTAGCAAGGGAGACTTGGTGAAAGTAAGTCTGCGACAAAACAGAGCAGAGGTCTCGAGGACAACAGTGGCCAGTTTTCTGTCCCCTTGCGACTTGTGCATTGGCATCTGCCTGTATATGGCTCACATCCTCTCCAGCTACTGCACACATTAGAGGATCTACCACTAGACACTCAGAGCCAAGTTAAAGCAGCAGCCATCTACTCTGTCATATTGTAACTGTGTGACATTATCTATAATCTGTCATAGGACCAGCAGAATACATGTGGTAATAAGTGCTTCATTTTGTGAGAGGTGACAGCTGGCAGGGTTCAGATCTCTAGAGGCAAAAGGTGAATGAAATCAAGGAGCGAACCAGAGTAGAGCAGAATGCTCTCTGCATGGACCTTTGAGCTCAGTCGTCTAAAGCCAACCATGGAACTGAGGAGCACAGGAGATATTCAGAGCAGAGGGATGCACTGCCTTGCTCCTGATTAAACAAACTCTCATGAGGCTGCATTCACACATCCCTTCATTAAAGGCCAATTCTCTTCTTCCTCCTCCTCTTCCTTCTCCTCTTCTTTTAGGTTTCTCGAGACAGAGTTTCTCTAACCCTAGCCCCGGCTGTCCTAGAACTTGCTCTGTAGACCAGGCTGGCCTTGAACTCAGAGATCTGCCTTCAGAGTGCTGGAATTAAAGGTGTACTCCACCACTGCCCTGCTCTAATTCCCTTCTTAAACGGGGAGAGTCATAGTTCTGAATTTGCATTTTCTTGGTTAAAAGAGCAATTTTATATTATTCTGCTGCCAACTGAGAGGAAGTAAAATTCCTCGATCTGTTAGAAGTAACAATTTACTTCCCAGAAGGAAGGAAAACTAGGCAATCTCTGATTCTGAGGAAGTGGATAGAAATAAAACCTCAGCCAAAACAGTGACAAGTAGCACGCATGATGCCTTGAGTTTAGTTCCTACCATGGATACACCACACACATTTACACACATGTGCACGTGCACGCACACACACGTACACACACGCACACATCAAAAAAAGTGGCAGAGGAGAAAGTGAAGGAAGAAAGTGAAGTCTAGCTGGATTTGAATCTAAAATAGATACAGGTGTTGCAGAAAACATTATTTTTTAAAAAAATTATTTGTTTTCATTTAAGTGTATAAGTGTTTTGCCTGCATAAATGTCTGTTCTGCACATACGAGAGTTCCATCAGAGGCTGACAGAGGGTGTCAGAACCTCTGATATTGGAGTTGCAGATGGTTGTAAGCCACTGTGTGGGTGTTGGAACCAAACCTAGGTCCTCTGAAAGAGCAGCCGGTGCTCTTAACCACTGAACCATCTCTCCAGTCCATTATGCTACCTTCTTAATGAAATAATGTTGGAGGACTCTAATCTCAGCCTCACACACAGATAGTCACACCTCTGATTTAAAAGAGTACTACTTTGTAACATGAGGGGCCAGTTTGTTGGGGTACCTGTCCCACCCAGTACCCCACAACTGGCAACTCCCAAGGAAAATCACACACAAGACTCCATAAGATTATAAACTGATTGGCCCATTAGGTCAGGCTACTTATTAGTTCTTATGACTTATCTTAACCCATTATTCTGATCTATGTTAGCCATATGGCTTGGTACCTTTTTCAGCTGTCAGCTCACATGTTGCTTCTTCGGTGATCAGGGCAGGAATGGCGGAGGGAGCTTCCTGCTTCCCAGAATATTCCTGTTCTCATCACCCCACCTCTACTTCCTATCTGGTTGACCCACCTATACTTCCTGCCTGGCCAATCAGCGTTTTAATAAAATACATGATTGACAGAATACAGATAATTCTCCTGCACCACTACTTGAAAAGGACCAGAAATTTTGTTTGTTTGCTTTGTTTGGTTTGAGACAGGCTCTCTCTATATGTAGCCCTGGCTGTCCTGGAACTCTCTGCATAGACCAGGCTGGCCTCAAATTCACAGAGATCTTCCTGCCTCTGGATCCCAGGGTCTGAGATTAAAGTCACATTCTACCAAGCCCAGCAAGATTTTGTTTACTATGTGTAAATGACTAAATAGAAGACTCACAACCTAAGGGATATATGTGGCAATTTTGAAGAGCCTATGCAATGGTGTGGGTTTTTTTTTTCCACAACAGAAAACGCTTTTTCCACTTTTCAAGATAACTTAGTGCTCTGCAGTTCAGCCAAAGACTTTCATTGCCCACCTGGAGCTGATGTCAGATCCATGGACTAAGGACTCAGTCTCGCAATCCTGCCTGTCCTAGTTGGGGTTTCTGTTGCTCTGAAGAGACACCATGACCATGGCAATTCTTATAAAGGAAAGCATTTAATTGGGGCTGGCTTACAGTTCAGAGGTTTGGTCCATTGACATCATAGCAGGAAGCAGGGTGGCATGCAGGCAGACTCGGTGCTGGTGAGTCTCCTGAGAGTTCTACATCTGCATCTGCAGGCAGCAGGAAGAGACCCTGAGCCACTAGGCTTGGCTTGAGCTTATTAAACCTCAGAGCCCATCCCCAGTGACACACTTTCTGCAGCAAAGCCATACCTACTACCACAAGGTCACACATCTTAAAAGTGCCACTCCTTGTGGACCTATGGGGGCCACTGTTATTCAAGCCACCACACTGACTACATTCAGAAATGAATTGCCAGTCCCAGGTTGTCAACCGTACTTCTGACCAACCAGTTATAAATCTAAGGTTTTCACAACCACTCATGATCATAATTCACCATAACAGCTTACAAAACTTAGGGAAATATTTATTTCCATTTTCAGATGTATTATAAAGGATACAGATGGAATACAGAGCAAGGTCTGGGAGGTCTCCTGTTTCCATGGAGATAAGGGTACGCCACCCTCTCTACACAAAAACTTGTTCACTAATCCCAACTGTTTCCTGATTCTATTATTTAATGTTCCTATGGAGGTTCTATTATGTAAGCGTGATTGATTAAATAATTAGTCACTGGTGATTAAAAGTCAATCTCCAGCCCTCTCCCAAGGAAGTAGGGGGTGGGGGTTGAAATTGGTTCCTCCAGTAACCAACTCCTTCCTGTTGCTGTCTAGGGGCTGTCAGCTCTCAGTCACCTTATTATCATATAAAAACACACGCTCACCATTTGGGTTCTGTCTTGGTTTCTTTTCCTGCAGCTTTTCCTGCCCGACAAAAGCAACCTGAAGGAGAAAGGGCTTGTTTTGACTCACAGGGCAGTCATAGGAGCAGGACCTGGAGGCCGCTGATCATGGGACATCCCTAGCAAAGACTTCGACAGCCATGATCCAACCCCAGGGAGTGGTTAGAGTGGATCTTCCTACCTCAGTTATCCTGACACAGGCAGGCCCTCACAGGTGTCTCCAGAGGATACAAAGCCTTCACAGGTGTTCCTGGAGTCTCCTAGGTGACGGAGATCCTGACAAAGGAGGACACCAATAGCCACAGACTCCCTGTGTCTTAGCTCTTGTGTCAAGAACTTGAAATGGAGATCAAATACCAAAGATATCCCTACCACATGGGAATCCCCACGTTTTAAACTTCGAAACCCTGAGAAGTCTTATATCCCATATGTTTCTGGGTCCTAACAATCCCTGAGGGGAGAGGGTGAGAAGGGGCAGCTTCAAGGGCGTAGACACGGGAAGTCAGGTAAAAGGCAACAGTAGAGTGGTTTATTCATCAATGGGAAGAGCCTTACATACCCTCCTCCGAGCATCCAGGCTGTGTCCCTCTGGTGACATTGCATAGTCACCTCTCATTGGCTAGGCACGATCAGGACCTCTGACAGCGCCTCAAGCAGACTTCAACTTGGCTCATCTCTTGGCATTATAGGCTGTATCTTCCTACACCCGTGAAATAGAAATCAAATTTATATTTCTTACTATGCCACACAAAGACTTTGGGAAAGGAAATTATATTTATTTTATTTTCTTAGCAGAGGTTATAGGGACATTTGACATTCTAGATTTTAACATAAAGGGCTGGATTTTTTTTTGATTTGAGGGGTTTTGTTTGGTTGAGGTTTTTTGTTTGTTTGTTTGGTTGGTTGGTTGGTTGGTTGGTTTTAGCTTTTCGAGACAGAATTTCTCAAAATAGCCTTGGTTGTCCTAGAACTCACTTTGTGGATGAGGCTGGTCAAGAACTCAGAAAGATCCAGCAGCCTCTTCCTCCCAAGTACTGGGATTAAACGTGTGTGCTGCCAAGCCCAGCTTATAATGAGAAGTTTTAACTAATGATGAAAAGATTCCTTTACTGAGAATTGGCGTGTAGAAGGCCAGCATCACCAGTAGAAAAGACTCCTTCACTGAAAGCTGGCATGTGGGAGGCCAGCATCACTGGTAGTAATTTTTTTTTTTTAAGGAAGATTTTCAACAGACAAAGAGATAATTTATTTCTTACACTGCACTAAAACAATGGCTGGGTTCCCAGAAAGGGTACTGCACCAATGAGAGGGTGTGGTGGCTGTTGTAGAGTAGTCAAGGGGAAGTCACGTGGGATAGCATCTGAGGGGACCGGTGCACCTCTCCTCATCTTGTTAAGTAGTGATTTTCACAGTGTTAAGTTCTTTTGCTGACACTGGCCATGT